CATAGATGCTGGTGATCCAGCAGAACCCAGTTTGAAAGTCTTTTCGTCCACCGGTTGTCTCTTAGACCAGCTACGTGGCCGACCAATCTTCTTCCAGCGTAGTAGAAAGCAGAAGTCAGTCAATCAATCAGTCCAATGACAAATTTGTGCGCTTGAAACGTAACCTCAGCGAAACACCCTCTAGACTTTGGCCCCATTCCTCTTTGCTGGCAATCACTTAGCTCTTTTTGACAGTGGTAGTAAGCCCATGTTCGGTGCACCAGTTCATTGCGGGTAGGACTGCTGAATCGAACAGTTCTCTCTCTGGTCGCATGGGCAGCTCACGGTCAGTCGAAAAAGCATCCTGTGACAGTTATGGTAATCGTTTCCGTTGCATGCAAGTCCTACTGCTTTTCTACAACGATTACTTCTAAGTTGTCAGGGTAACAACAGCTATAAATGGAAAGTTAAAATTAAGGGAACAGCAAAACGTTTGCACCACGTTTCTGAGCCGAAATTTTTCATAATATCCTGAAAGTAGATGTTGTTGTAAATCATGGTGAACAAATGGCATGAACGATGCTCTTTTCTGCTGTTTCTGGATATCGTCCCGCTCTATGCTGAAATTCCTTCCTCATTATGGGTTCACAGGATAGATCGCCAAATTGATAGACTTTTCCCTTCATTTTTGTGGATTAATATAGACAGTGGCACAAAGGCCCTAGATAGTTGATGGAATGATATTTTTCTAGAATGTTTGCCTTAAAGGCATGATGAGACTTGTCAAACCTTAACTGTCACTGGTTTCTTCAGCTTCTTCAGAATTAATGGCAAATATTCATGGCTACTGCAGCGGCTATGGAAAATAGCGCGTTGTCGTAATTCGCCCTGGTACGCGATCCTGCACTTCAGCCATTTTCAGACTGTCGCGATGCGGACATCGAAGCCGACTTATCGATAGCAAGTGATTAAGGTATGCAGTTCTGAATCAAAGAATAACGTATAATTTGTGTGCAGCAATTACGTAGAGATGTCATCAGAACTGAACCCTTACGAAACCTTATTAACGATGTACGTCTTGCTTGTACCATTCCGTTGTTCACGGGCGAGACGTTCTTTTTCCCTCATGGGTCGTTAGCAGAGGCGACGGTCACAACAACGATAGCAGAAACAGCGACGTAGCCTATGCAGCTAAAGTCGCCGCTTCAGAAACGAAAATCGTTTTTGTGAAGCCAACGGACAGTTATTCAGATTAAATTATTATTACCCATATGCACTTCTGACGTGTCAGACTAATGCTGTTCATGATTATGTGAGGCGAATGACAGAAAGAATCGTTGGGTAGCGACTGAGAATGGACATTTATCTGAATCTCAGACATCGTTGAAAAAGTTGTCACTGCATCGAATCAGCAGCGGCAGCGGTATCATCGTTTTCATAGCCGGCGTCATTGAGGTGGCACTAGAATCCTGTAGAGCCTCACGTCGCTCAGGCGATTCTTCTCTGAGCGAATGGGCCACAGGCGAGAAATACTCAGCCCTTCGTGATATATTGACATAATTTCAATGAACGCATTTGATTAATCGAACGATGGAGTTATTTTAACAAAAACACAGCTGTTGCACGCATGTGCATAACAGAGCCGACGTCCTAAAACGTTCGTTCATACTGTACGACATCTGAAGGCCGCCGTTCGTTGGTCAGCTGTCGCCATGGACTCTGTCGCGGACAGCGTCACTGTGGCCCGGTTGGACTGTATCGTTAAGCGAAGGTCGATGACCCAATGTAACGTGCAAAACGTAGCGTGTTCCCGTCCCAACGGTCTCAAGACGTCCGGTGTTACACGGCGAGGTTGGCGGAAAGCCGGTCACCTTCCGCAGCCGGCCGTTTCCAAGCCCGCTCGACGTTTACCGTCTGCCACCGCAACGGCGGCAGCTGCCTTTAGGGATGTTTTAATGTGAAATAATTTCGTTGTGAAGAGGATTTAATTTCAGTTTGAAGCTTTTTCTCCCTGGCGACACAAAGCGAACAACGACGACGCAATTTCTAATTAATCATCGGATTAGCCGGTAATTAATTTAAAACGTTCCTTCGTCCACGTTCAATAAAATGGGCTTGCAGTGAACGCCTGATTGGATTATTAGCGAAAGTGAGTGCTGATAGTTCTCGCTTAGCTTGCTACAGTGTTATTAGTCGCATAACTGCATTCATAACTGCATACATCTGAGGCCATGAGCAGTTTTGCAAAGCAACCTTTTCTTCAAGGAAACTAATGACCTCCAAAAAGCGGATTTAATGCTACTTTAAGCTTGATGACTGCAAGATGGAAACAAGGGAAACAGAAATTTCACTCGATAATCGATGAATAAAACAGAATTCAAGCGATGGTATTTTTTAAACTGCAAAATTTTGAAATGGTATAGATTGTTCTGCGAGAACCCACCGCAATGTGACTCTCTTACACTGTTGTGATAATGGGCATTCAATGACCATCATAAGAAGACTGGAGCTATTCTCGTATAAGCATTTTTCTTATGTGCATTATTTCTGTTATATATGACCATTGGTTGTAAATATGACAAACTGACCTAAAGACATTCCGTCCGCTTGTGCACAACAGTAGAAGG